TAAGCAGTTATATATGTATCAAGTTACAGATGTAATACTTGCCCTTCACAAATACTCAGCCTACTCGGGTAGCTCCCTTCTATTCTGCTACTTAGACGTGGCCACAGCTCTCAGCTTGGCGAGTGTCTTTTGAGACAACTTGCTGTCGCACAGGTGATATTCCCATGGCTCAGAAGCTGGAGCACTGTGTGCGTTCCCAGGCCCTGCCTTCCTTCAGGCTGATGAATGAGAGCAGACTTAGCATGAGGGATGCTGAGCTCAGTGTCCTCTTAAATCCTCAAAAGAAAAAATTTTTTACATGGACAAGATTGTTTGGAAGAACAATTTGATAGACTACCTCAAATTGAAGTGTGCATTCATCAATCTGGTGCTGGCAATTTCCCACACACCCTGAAATACCCTTACTGTGCCAGCTGTCCATGGGGCCATCCTGGGAGAGTTGTTACCTTAACAGCAAATCACTAGAAATAACTTAGTTGTCCCTGAGCTGGGGAGTGACTGTTAACGTCACTGTGGCACATCTATGTGCTGGAATGCTCTTCAGTTAGCCCCCACAGATAGATCTGTGAGAGCCGGTAAGAAGCAAGGCCTGTGGCATGTGGTTAAGTGAAACAAACACCCACTTTTACAAAAAGGTTTGTTTTTTTTTTAGTTATGTGTGCCTATTTCTTTAAAGATCACATGGTACAATATTTCTTGACCGATATTCCACTGGCCACCTCCATCAGAATCCTGTTGGACCGGCAGATTCCTGGGCTCTGCCCTAGAACCACTGGGTCAAAATCTCCAGGGATGTAGCCAAAAAAATCTGGGTTGCTCCTGAGACTCAAAAATCTCAGTTGGGGTGAAGTGTGGGCTTGGGAGGGCAGAGACCCTGCTCATTTCGAGGGTCCCTGATGGGACTCCTGAGTCCTTCTCCCTCCCCCTGGACCAGCCCTCTGTCGCCCCCTGTCCCAACCTTGTTCCTCACCGAGGTGCTGGGATCATTTTGGGACTGTCCCTGGCCCTCTCAGGAGCAAATCATAGCCAGCACTTGCCAGAACTAGGGGTATGGTCAGTCGGCCCTTAACCTGGAGGGCCAGGCCTCTTGGTCGGAACTCACAGGACACACTCTCACTGCCTGAGAAGGGACATCCCTGCCTCATGTTCTGATTCCCAGAGTGAAGGATCAAGAATGGGGTGCAGAGGCCCTGTCCTTGCCATCAGTTTACCCCATTCTCACCCAGCAGGGAACCGAAAGGGAAGCTCTGGGGCAGGATTAACAGGGGAACCCTGAGAGAGGCACACCCCTGGGGGCACAGGTAGCCAAGGTGAGTGGGCTTGGGGCCAGAATCCAGAGCCTTAGAGACCAGGGAAGCTGAAGACTGGAGTCACTCAGGAGCAAGAATATGGGAGGTGTCCCTGGCTGGAGGTCCACTCTCTCTCCCCATCCTGAGAACCACCTGGGGGCACTAGTGATCGACACAGGCAGGTGGGCATCTGAATGCCAGGAGGGGGCCTGGACATCTGAATTTATAACACCCTGGTATTCTTATGCTGAGCTGCAAAGGGGAAAGTGGCCTGTAACTCACCTGGGGTGTGCAGAGGTTTTTCTGACCCTTCAGGACAGGACCTGGGTTCCCCTTTAGGAACCCAGCTCTCACGTTTCTCTACTGCAACCTTCCACCCCCCTGGACTGCCACACCAGCTATGCCTTGAGGTCAGCACTACTTGACTCTGGCTTCTGCATAAAAATCACAGTAATATTACTAAGAGCCAGAATTTTCTGAGGGCCTCCCATATCCTGGCGTGGGCACACAGGCACTGTGCTGTAGTTAGGAGCATCTCATTTATTTCAACAAATTTATTGAGATGTAATCCCAATACCATACAGTTCACCCATTCAAGTGTACAATTCAGTGGTGATTGTTACATTCACAGAGTTGTGCATCTATCACCATGATCCATTTTTGGACATGTCCACCGCCCCAGAAAGAATCTCATACCCATGAGCAGTCACTCCCCAGTCTCCTCTTTTGCAGCCCTGGCAGCCACTGGTCTGCTTTCTGTCTCCATGGATTTTCTGATTTGGGACATTTCATATAAATGGAATCAGACAATATGTGACCTTCTGTGTCTGGCTGCTTTCACATAGAATAATATTTTCAGGGTTCATCCATGGTATAGCATGTGTCAGTACTCCATTCCTTTTTGTTGCCAAGTAATATTCCATTGTCTGTATCCACCACATTTTATTCATCCATTCATCAGTTGATGGGTATTTGGGTTGTTTCCACTTCTTGGGTATTATGAATAATGCTGCTATGGGTATTCATGCACAATACCCATGTGTGAACATGTATTTTCTTTTCTGTTGGGTATATATATGTAGGAGTGGAATTGCAGGGTCACATGGTTAAGTCTATGTTTAACATTCTGAGAAACTGCTGGACTGATTTTCCCATCATTTTATCACCCCACTAGCAGTGTATGAAGGTTTCAATTTTTCCACATCTTTGCCAATGCTCGTTATTATCTTTTTGATTCTCACCATCTTAGTGTGTGTAAAGTGGTACCACATTATGATTTTGATTTACATTTCCCTGGGAGCCTCCCTGTTTTACAGAAAAGGAAACTGAGGCTCAAAGAGGTGAAGAGCTTTGCCCAAGATCCTGAAACAAGGATGGGCAGAAGCAGGATTCTAACCCAGGCACTTTCCTTGCCTCTGGGCTGCACTCCCAATGGAGCAAGAAAGTTCCCTCCAAGGAGGTAGGGACCCCTCTGAAGGAGGAAGGGACTGGAAATGGGACACAGGCCCTTGGAAGGCTAAAATGAGATCTTGCAGAATCTCAGGATTTCCCATGGAAAGCCCTTCACTAGTGCCTGGCACATAGTAGGTGCTCAGGACTTAACAAGTAATTTTACCACTCTGGCATTAGGCTGTAGCCACCAGCCCTTCCTAGGAAGACCAGGGCTTTTCAGGGCCTGCCTTGCACTTGGGCACTTCTGAAAGGGACCATATTCATTGACTCAAGACTGGCCACTGGCCTGAGAGGACCACAGGTCATAGGCCATCCAGCCCAGGAATACCTGGATTCTGCAACAGGTCCACAGCCCAGCCTGCTTCCCATAGCGTGGTTTATTCATGTCCTCAAACACCCAGCCATCCTCAAACCCACCCTTCACCGAACTTCAGTTTTCCCACCTGAAAACTTGAGGATTCATGGCTCCCTTTGGGGCTGCTGTAGCCATCAGCACTGAGCCTGGGGCACATGTAGTGCCCAGCCAACATCAGCCATTTCAGTAGCCAGTCCCTGCCCTTGAGGGAGATGCTCAGTCTGGCTGGCAGGGGAGCCCAGGGACAGGCAGGCAGACGCCCTAGGCTCGGTGTGGGTGGTGACCATGGTTCCTGTGAGTACACAGAGGAAGGCCCAGCTGGCCACGCCAGCCACAGGGGGGTTGACCTGAGAGCCTCGGAGAAACACACACCCTCAGGCAGACTCCCAGCAGGACCGTGGTAGGTGCTGGTTCTGGCTGAGATGAGCCAGGGGGGTCAGAGCCCAGGGCATGGGGGTGGGAGGGGGGTCCCAAACTGGCATAGTTCAATAACTGTGTGTCCATGGCTGTGACCTCTCTGAGTAATAAAGGGATGGTGATGGCACCTCATGGGAGAAAATGGGATCCCTAAAGTGCAGTGCCTAGACCTCCCACCTGGCAAAGCCATCTGAGAAGCTCATGCTGTTGTGCATCAGGAGACATGGACTGGAATGCTCAGGGCAGTGTTATTGATGGGAACATGTGGTAGAAGGGATGAGTAAGTTGATAAACTGTGGGATATTCATGCAGTAATACAAATGGACAAGTTACAGAGACATGCCACTACATGGATGAATCTCACAAATAGAGCAGGTGCATGAAAGAATAGATCATTATGATTCCACGCAAATACATTCAAAAAGATAAAACTCAACTATATTGTTTAAGACGACATACATATGGGAAGTAAAACTAAAACAGGTATTAAGAATATGATTACCTTAAAAGTCAGGGTGGTATGTAAGAACTTGTTCGTTATGCTTCAGAAGATTGGAGACTGATGAGAATTAGACTTGAGATGGATTAATGATTGTACATTGAGCATTGACCCCCCTATACTGAATTTTATTGTTGTTAACAACCATTTGATCAATAAATATGAGAGATGCCCTCCCAAAAAAAAAAAAAAAAAGTCAGGATGGTGGTCATGATTTCACTCATTTGTGGAGTATAACAACAAAGCAAAATTGAAGGCACAGAACAGCAGCAGAGTCATAGACTCCAAGAAGGGACTAGCAGTTACCAAAGGGAAGGGGTTGGGGAAGGAAGGTGGGTGGTGAGGGAGGGAGAAGGGGATTAAGGGGTATTATAATTAGGACTCACAATATAGGTAGGTCACTGGGAAGGCAGTACAGCAGAGAAAAAACAGGTAGTGACTCTATGGCATCTTATAACGCTGATGGACAGTGACTGCAATGGGGTGTTGGGGGGGGGGACTTGATAATAAGGGTGAATGTAGTACCACAATGTTGCTCATGTGATTGTTTATCAATTATACCTTAATAATAATAATAAAAAAGTCAGGGTGGTGGTTACCTCTAAGAGGGAGGACAGAAAGACACCCAGGCTGTGCTGGGCAGTTCTGTTCTTAGGGTGTGTCATAGGTGGTGGTTCACCCTTATTTGCTTTATAACTTATTTATTCATGAAATGGTGCGAACATGTTCTATGCTCTCTGCCATCCACGTGAATATCTCAAAACCTAAGAACAAATCAAGTGCCTGGTAATTGGATCAGGGCTGAACAAAGGCTGGTTTCCCTGTGTGCTTCCCTTGTGCCCCACCAGCTCCTGTTCTGCGCTGGGGCGGAGAGCAGGAGCGAGGAAGTGCTGAGTGAGCCGTGGGTGTGGGCTGGCCTAGCCCGCCTCGCTTCCCCTCCCCCTCCCAGACTGCTCCCAGACACAAAGGCCCAGAAAGACTCTGCCCCAAAGGTTTTCTAAACCGCTTTATTCAGGTTGGCTGGTAGTCACGGATTGGATCATGTGTACAAGGTTACCCACACACCCCTGAGCAAAGCCACTGGCCTCTCCCATCTGCCCATTCCATTGCTGAGGGGAGGCCAGAAGTTTGAGCCAGTTTCCAGGGGGTGTTAGGCCCAGAGAAATATTTACAAATCACCAGTGGGTGGGTGTTCCCCTGATCAGGAATTGTGAGGGGATTGGTATTGGGGGACCCTTGGCTCCCAATAGCCCCAGGCCCTTGGGTGGGCTTGGCACAGACCCCAAGGAGGGGGCTGGCACATTGGGAGCTGGCAGAGGGGGGCTCCTGGGAGAGCCTTGAAGACCCTTGAAGGGTCCTGCTGGTGCAAACCTCTGCGTGGGTCACGGGGTCAGAGGGAAAGGCTCTTTCAGACCTGTCCTGTGAAGGGGCAGATTCCTGGTTCCCGGCTCCCCGGAGGCTGGGACAGGGAGCGATTTCTTAGGTATATGGAGGCTGAACACGAAGGAGCCACAAGGAGGCAGTAGGGGCATTTCCTTCTCCCAAGACCCCTGTGAGTGACCCTGCTAACAGGCCGCGGCCCTGGAGCAAGGCTTTCCCAGGGGCTCTGTGGCCCAGGTCTTCGCCAGGGGAGAGGCCCTAGCTCTACTCAGGAGACTCAAGTCCAATTTTGGGGAGGGGTCACTGTCCACACCCCAGGTTCAAGTGGGGAATGATGGGAAGGAGGGAGAGTAAGGCTGGGAGGTCCTGGCTCGGGACAGGATAGGGGACAAGCAAGCAAAACAAACACTGGATTCCACTGAAGCTGGTGACAGAAAGGGGGCAGCCCTGCCCTGGCATGGTGCCCCACCTCAGTGTTCGGGACAGCCATCCCCTTGGCGCCCAGGGCCACCTTCTCCGAGCCAGGTCATTTCAGGGGTCTGCAAAGGAAGGGCTGGGAAGGGTTTACATGCTGAGCAAGGGGGTGGCGGGCAGCGAGCCGACGTGGTGGCCACAGGCGGTCTCGGGGATGGGGAGGCAGCTGGACGCAGGCAGTCCTGTCCCCAGTGGTCCAGCGGCTCCTCATGCACTCTGTACAGCCTAGGGGTGCGGGGCGGGCAGGTGGCGGGGGCACCAGTCTAGAGACCGCAGGCCTCCTCCTCCACCGAGCGCTTCCGCAGCTCCTTGCCCAGCTTGGGAGGTGGTGGGGCGGGCGCGGCAGGTGGGGCTTCGGGCAGGTGCAGGACGGAGTTCTCTCCCGGCTGCACCCGCAGGTAGGCCTTGACCTTGTGGTGCCTGGCCTTGCCGTCACTGAAGTCGATGACACGGCACTCATAGGTGCCTTCGTCCGTGGGCTTCACCCGCGACAGGCGCAGCTTGTGGGAAATGTTGCTGCCCACCACCTTGACCACCTGGGGGGACAGAGGGACTGTGACCTGCCAATTGGTGGCAGCTGGTAAGGTGGACAATGCCAATCCCCGGAGCCCACTCCTAGGATGGGGCCCCAAGGACACTCCCACAAGGGTACACAGAGGTTTGCAGAGGAGGGGTTAAACAGCAAAGAAATAGACACAAGTTCAATGTGCATCACAGGTGCACGGTAGGCAGTTCATTCAGGGGAATACTGCACAGCCGTTAAAAAGAATGAGCTAGAGCTAGGCATGTTAGAGCTCAGGGAGAAGATCTCACTGCAAAAGCCCTACAGTGTGACGCCATTTCTGTAAATAAGCACATAAACATACTCTATAATCTGGGAGATTTATAATATTTGAAAATAGGTGGTAGGGAGCACAGGGGCCTCACAGCCATGGTTGTCTCTGGGTGGAGCCCAGGGGAGGTTCCACAGGCCCAGGATAGGCTGAAAGGTGAATTCTGAGCCTAGTCTGAAATGCCACACAGTTGACCCTTGAATAATGCAGGGGCTGGGTGGGTAATGACTCCTCCCACCCCTCCCCCTAACACACAGTCAAAAATCCACGTGTAACTTGATTCCCCATAAACTTAACTGGTAAGAAAATGTTTTTCAAACTGTTGCAAACCTCCAAAAAATATTCAATACATGTACTGAAAAAAATTTGCACATAAGTGGACCCATACAGTTCAACCCGTGTTGTTCAAGGGTCAAAAGTATTTCTTTTTTTAAAAATGAAGGCTCTGATGGACAGTGACTGTAGTGGGGTTTGTGGGGGGACTTGGTGAAGGGGGGAGCCTAGTAAACATAATGCTCTTCATGTAATTGTAGATTAATGATACCAAAATAAAAAAAAAATGAAGGCTGATCACAAATATAGCAGGGTGCTAATAGCTGTTCACTCCAGTTGGGGGGAACAAGAGTATGGTATTTGTCTATGTAACTTTGGTTTTTTGCTTATTTACTTATTTGACTGGGTTTTTACACTTTTATTAAAATTGAAATTTCACTTACATACAGTAGAGTGCTGTATAAAAAATACAACAGTATACTGCTTGATAAAATTTTCCTCATGTGTACTCCTGTGTGACCACGGTCCAGAGCAAGGCCTGGGACATTTATAACTTTCTAGCGCACACCCTTGCGGCCCTTTCTCATCAATACTCACTGCCATGGGGTTAGCCTCTACTCTGACCTCTAACACTACAGATTACTCTTGCCTGTTCTTGAACTCTTTCAAGCATGCCTGCTTTCACCACACAACGTAGTAGTATCAGTGGGACTCCTCCGTGTTCTTGCACAGCTCAGACTGTTCTTTTTCACTGCTGTGTCATATTCCATCACTTGACTGCATCACAATTTGTTTATCCAGCCTCCTGTTGGTGGACATTTGGGTCGTTTCCAGATTATCACTCTTACTACTAAATCTGTTATTTATGAATAAACATAAAGCCACTGTGAATTTTTTTCAATTAAAAGAGAAAAGGCAGTTGAATAGTTATATAGGTATCACTGAGGAAGTTGGGTGAAGAGGATGGGGACTCTGATCTATTTTCGCTACTTCTTATGAATCTACAGTTCAAAATAAAAAGGTTTTTTAAAAGGGGAGTTTGGTCTATGGAGAGTGGCAGTGGCGGTGGGAGGGCCTTCCCTCCTTCCCTGGCCCCTTCGTGCTTACAGCTGAAAGGAGCCCGGCTCGCCCCCTGCAGCCCCTGCCCACCTAGCAGAACAGGAGATCGGTCCCCAGCAACCAGCTGGAGAACCCTTTCCCACCTGCTGGAGTTACCATGGGCTCACCAGGCCCAGGCTGGAGCTGAGGGGCTTCAGACCTGTGGCCCCAGCCCAGAGCCCTACTGGCCCTTCTGCCCTGGGTGGACAGGGGATAGACAACCAGCGGCCTGTTCCTGGCAACCCCCAACTCCTGGCAAGCGGGGGGGAGTCCCCTGCTGATCACCCTTGTAGTGCGGAGGCCAGGATGAGAGGGGACAGTCTCCTGTGGGTTGGGGGTGGGGCTGTGCTCAGCCTGCAGACACATGTTAGGGCCTGTTCTGGGCATTCCCACGTGGCTTGTCCTCATCTCACCGATCTGCTCTGGCCCTTCTGGCCCCTTTCCTTCCCCCCAGAGGCTGAGCTCTTTTTGACCTCACAGCCTGTGCACATGCTGGTCTCCCTGCCTGTTCTCCATCTCTCTTCACCTGCTTGACTGCTATTCATTCTCAAACATCACCTCCTCCAAGAAGCCTTTGATGACCACCTGCTGATTTCCTTCATAGCAGTCATCATGGTTTGAGAACCATTTATTCATCTGTTGACTTGACTTTTATTTTTCTCCCTGCTTAAGCTATAAACACCATGAGGACATGCGGACAGTGATGATTATCTATTTTATTCACCTTAGTGACCATCACAGGGTCTAGCACCCTGTAAATAATAATAGTAATAATAATAATGAAAACATTGGTCGAATGAATAGACTCACTCTAGTTCCTTCTTTCTCCAAGTGAAGTGTTTTAGCTTTCTAATTTTAGATCATATACACATGATTATACCCACTTTACAGATGATGAAACAAAGGGGCTGAAATAAGTGACATCACTGTGTCAGTGAGTGGCAGAGCTAGGAACTGAACCAGGCCTGACTCCATGCACTCTAACCTTGCTCTCTAACAGGCCCACCAAGGTCACCAGGGCTGGCAGGACCACGGGGGCTTCCCAGGCTACAGAACGGAAGTGCGTGGGTAGGCAATGGCCGGGAGCCTGGCCCATCCTCCCTCGTTCTGAGCATTCCCAGCTGGTCGCCATCCCCCATGGAGCAGGAAAGCATGGGCTTGTGCTGCAGCAGGATGCACAAGGTGGGGACAAAGCAGAGCGCTCAACAGCAAGAGTGGGAAACCCTTCCGGCTGCCCCTCCCGGGTGTGGGGCTGAGAAGCAGGAGCCCCTCCCCAGTGCGCGGCCCAGCTGGGGGCCATCAGCCCTGCTGACTCTGTCACCTCTGACCAAGGGCACAGAGAGGCCTTGTGGCCCTGCCATGCTCTCAGGCGAGTTAGGAGATGCTGTTGCAAATGCGCAGCGGGGAGTGAATTACCTCAACATCTGTTTCCCTCACGGATATTAATTATCCTTCATTTGTCAACCCTACGAGGTGCTAATGGAGTAATAATGCGAAGCACTGGGAGCAGACACTCGTAGGGAGGGAACGCCATGCCAGCCCACCTCCACTGGGCCCTTCCCCCCCAGGGCAGGGGCTGAGGCCTCTGGCCCTCCCAGGAACAGTCAGCTCAGCAACCTCCACCTGATGTCCCCTCTGCCCCCAAACACCTGCAGATGTAGAGCTCTTCTCTTCCCAGAGAGGAGGAGGGAGACAGCACTGCAGGGGCCTCGCGGGGCTGGGCTCTGACCCTCACAAATCACCGGCACTCTGGCCTCAGGTTTTTTGGATTCCTCCATGCATCTGAAAACAGTAGTGAGCACCCACAAGCTGGGTGGTGGAGATACAGCTGTGAAGCAGCCAGACCCCAGCAATGTTCACACCAGCCCACGGTTGCACGGAGAACCGAGACCTCACACCCCAGCCCTGCACCTCAAAGAGGGGGCTTCTGACAGGATGGAGGTAGAGGTCACACACCAGACACTGCTCCCTCCCAGTCCCAGTTTGTGCCTTTAAGCATGATCTGGAGAAGGCAAATAATAGAAAGAATAACAACAGTAATAGTAGTGCTGACAGCTAGTGTTTATGGAGGGCTTGAGCACTGTGAGATGATGTGCTAAAGCTTCATACATCTTACTTAAACCTCACAGTTACCCTGTGATGTAGGCACTGCTAGGATACCCATTGTATGGGTCAGGAAACTGAGGCCTAGAGAGGTAAAGTGATTCACCCAAGGCCATCCAACTGATGACAGAGACCAGGCTTTAACCACATCTCTGGGGAGCCTCCCATGACCACTAAGCCACAGGTCTGTGTGTCCACCCGTCCTTCCTCCATGTCCTAGGGGAGCCTGGCTCTGCTCCAGCTTCTCCAGCCTATTGGGTTCCATCATTCACAAATCTGGCTGAAAATCCTCCTGACCAGCCCTCCAACGAGACTGGAGAGGCCACCAGGAGAGGAGACCCTTTGCCGCAGCCTGGCTGTAAATCATAATCACCTCAGCAGAGGCATCGACAGGCCTTAGTGGTGCAATTAAGCACCTAATTGTGCTGAAAAAGACAAGGCAAGTCCACGCCATGACCAAGCTCAGCTGCCTCCTTGCTCTCCTGTGGCCCAAGCCTTTCTGGGCATGACTGGGCATCCCTGCGCCATCAAGTGGTGGGGGGCTGAGATCCTCCTGCAGAGACACGCAGGGAGAATGGGTAGGGCTGACTTGCATCCATTGTGCCAGGCCTTCCTACATATTGCCTCCTGGCTGAGCCTGAGCGTGGTGGGGCAGACCCGAGAAGGTGCTTGCGAGGGCAATAAGGGCCAGGCAGTTGCTGCCCCAGGACAGGGCCTGCTCTGGGCTCTCCCACTCCCGTGCCTCTGTCAGCAGCGCCAGCCACGTCATCACCCCTCGGCACATTCAGAACCCAACTCAGTCTCCTCAGATTTGAGCCCCACTCCAGCCAGACCTCCCCAAGTCGCTATCCACATTGCCCCTTCCTCCCATGGGGCACAGTCCATCCTGAAGCCCATTATCTTCCCTCCACACTTCAGAAGGCCCTCCTCTTTGCTCCAGAATCCAAACCCCTGCGCTGGCCAAAGTCCCAGGTTCTTTCGTCTGGGTCACCACCCCAGCCGCCTCCTTGGTCTCTCCAATCTGTTCTCCATGACAACCAGGCAAAGTTTTTCAAAATACCCCCAGCTTAGAGCCTTCCTTTGGTGGCCCCATGGTGGCTGACAAGGCCCTTCCAGCCCTTCCAGGTCTCCTGCCTGTCTGCCCCTAGGCCACACCAGCCTCCAGCAATTCCTTCAACACACACAGACACAACCAAGTTCCACCCCCACTCCCAGCTCCTCGTCAGTTCCTCCATATTTCAGGGCCCGCTACAAATTGCACCTCCTCCAGGAAGTCCTCCCAACCACCCCCCTCCACTAGGTCAGGTCCTCCTCATTTTGCTGGCATAGTTGTAATTCTACTTTCTATCATGTGTGATTACTGGGTTAACACCCATCTTCCACACTGCCCTGGGAGCACCCTGAGGACAGCGTGTGTGTACCCATGGCCTTCACCAGGCATCTTCAAGGCCCCCTGACTACTCTATGGATGTTTCAAAGGATTCCCAAGGTAGATGCAGTGATTTTGTCTCCACGTGGGCCTTGCCTCCCTGGCAGACTTCAGAACTTAATGCCCTGTGTATATTATGGATCACTGTAGGAATTTTAAAAGAGGAAAATTTCTACAGCAGAAAATAAAAAATAAAAATAGTAAACTGTTAGCTAGCACTCAGCCTGTTAATCCTTGGTGAAAGATGCAAACTACACGTGCTGCTCTGGTCATCCC